CCCAGGTTGTGGGCCTGATCCCCAGTGAGGGGCATGCAGGAGGCGGCCAGTCGATGTTCTCTCTCATCAATGTTTCTCTCTCTCTCTCCCTCTCCCTTCCTCTCTCTCTAAAAATCAATAAAGAAAAAAAAATCCTCTTAGAAGAAAATAAATGGGACTTAAAATTGAACTTTAATATTAGAGAAAATGCATGTGAAGGGCCTTCCTCAAGGGGCTTAACAATAAGGAAAAATTATTCTGGGAGGTCCATGTTGTCCAAAGTCTTACTACCTCTTTTTCAGGTGCATGTGTATATGTGTTGTGTGTTTGCATGCGCACACACATGTACCATTTCCTCCTGTGGTCTTCCGAAGTACTGCAATTCACTAGTGGGGATTAGCTGAGGTTTTAGTGTCCTCTGGCCCAGGTTGTTCTCCCAGGGCTCCCCACACCAGCTTCATAAGGAAATCTTTCTTCATTCTTGAGTTTGCCAACCACATGATCTAATAGGCACACATGCCAGTGAAGTCTTAACTCTACTAGACAGGCTGCATGAGACCTTGATTATCTTCTGGTAGCATCCTCAGGCCCATAAGCCTGCTGCAGTGAACGAATCACTATCCTGCATTTACTCTGAAGCTCCTGTAAAACCTGGTCGTTCAAGTTCTAACCTTGGCATTTCAAAGGCAGCGTGGAAGCTCTTGAATCTTTCTTTGAAAGGTGTGCATAAGCCCTGGCCTCTGAGTCATTCAGTCTCCAGTTACTTTCTCTGAGGTCTCTTTCTCATCCTTATACTCATCTAACTTCCCCTTTTGCCTAGGTTGCAACAGTTTTCTTTACTAGCATGATGTTATTCTACTTAATGATGTGTCATATTGTGTTTTCTTTTTCTTTTTTAATTTTGATATAAAAACTGCTAAGAGGTGAAAATCTAAAAATGGGCTTTGAGCATTCCTATAAAAAAAAGAAGGCCCTTCCATCTTATGATCAGTCACAAAATCTGTGATGATATTATGAGCATAGAACACTGTCCTGTTCTGACTATACATACTTAATATGGGTCCCAAGCCCTGAGCTGGTGCTATAATTATTGTAGTAGCCCACACATTCTTGACTGTATGCAGCACCATCCATGGACATCTATACTATACATATTTTGAGAAGTTCATTGGATTCAACTTCTATGATGGAAAAGAATATCCAATTAGAATGCAAAAACTTTGAATTGTTCCACTGATATTCTCGAAGATTGATGTAATTGACTACAATTGAACATTTTGATCCTCTCCTCCATAAATGTTGATTCTTTGAAAAGTATCTGGGATTCTTGAGTACATCACTTCAGAATTCAATTAATAAAGCCATACACTTTTAAAGGATTAACCACATGAGATGTGAGAATTTCCCCAAATTGGCAATGCAGTTTTGAAATGGTTATTTTGCTCTATGCTGCACATTTTATTTTATATTTAATTAATTTCTTTTTGTTACAGATGATTCTCCTTTTTCCCCCATTGACACCCTCCTCCCATCTCTTCCCCCCTCCCCCCCGCATTGTTGTCTATGTCCATTGGTTATACTTAAATGCATAAGTTCTTTGGTTTATCTCTTCCCTCCCCACTGCCCCCTCCTCTGAAGTTTGTAGATTGTGATCTAGTTTGACTTTGTCATCTGTTTGATGAAAACTCTTGTACCAATGCCACCTCCCCCAAGAAGCCCACTCTGATTCCTTCCTTTGACTCATGTGGCTCTCTGTCTTCAGCACTAGCCCAATTTGGCCTCATCTTCATTCTGGCCTGTATATTGCACACCCTTCCGGTAAGAAACTGCTGTGAAGTTTCCCTTGATCCTTACAGGCCCAGCCCAACCTGATTCGTGTCAAGCCTTCAACAAATGGAAATAAAAGGAAGCAAACAGGCAAATGCATACAATGACCAGAAGGTAAACTCGCCTTTTCAACTCTACATTTTGGGGGAAGCACACATTCTGTGGGGGACTTTGCTGTGCCCTAGTCCTGATTGGGTTCTGTGATATGGACTCTACTCCCCATTAAGGTCAGGCAGATATCCTACTCCAATTTGATTAACACTAGGATATGGGATAGAGTCTGCAGTAAGTACAATTACACATGCATCAAATCCATGATTAAAAGGCAGAAAGCACACATTTAGTGCGGTATCCTACTGCGTCACAGGTAACAACAGACAATACTCGTTGCACTACAGAATTATTTGAGGTGTTATTATTGTAGACCATTTGTTCCTAAAAAGATCATTGAACAATTGTCTAACTTGTTCCCAAAAGCAAGCAAGAAAGAGAGGTGACTTTAAATTCTGCACTAGATCCAGTTAAAGGCTCACAACTTATCCTTTAGTAGATATTAGTCATGGCCACGCTTTAAGGGCAGGGCAAAACCTACTTGCCTGAAGAATAAGGAGTGAATAAACGAATCAAAATAAAATATATTAAAACTTTTTTTCTCCTTTTGGAAAGGAACAGACTTCAAAATCAGAATGTGCCAAATGCCTCCTCCTCCTCCTTGAAAAGCCCTCCACCAGTATGAAGCAAGCCTAAGACCAGTTTCTCTCAAGGATGCACAAAACTCTGCAGCTGATGATTTTTCAGGAGGAAAATTAGATAAAAATAGTACAAGTGAGAAATAAAGAGAATGACCTACTTTGCGGGGGGTGGGGGGTCGGGGGATTCTTCGTGAGAGCTGTTATCTCATTGAGGGTGTGGGGTTGCATGCCCAAATAAGGTGCTGTTGATGGATCTGTGCAGAAGAGGGCCTGTCCAACTGGACGGCTGAGAAGATAAAGAAAAAGTCTCTGGAACCTAGTGGGGGGCGACCCCTAGTGAATTTCCACGGCTGGTGTTCAGAGGAAAGGCCCTGGGAGATTCCCACTGGACCCCAAAACCAGGATGATTGAAAAGGATGGGCAGGGTCGCTTTGTTTTCCAGGGCTTCTGGCAGGAATGTGTGAGGAACTCAGGAACATCCCAAAAGGGCTGCTGGGCCAGAGGGCAGGGTCAGACACTGTAGCTATGCAATGTCACAGAAGGGGCGATTTCCTTCCCAAAAGATCTCTCTCTTTTGGGCTTCTCCCAGGCACCTCCACGAGGTGAACTCAATGGCCCTGGGTGGAGGGGAGTCTGGGAGTCTAGGCAAATCCAGTGATGGTTCTAGGCCTCAGCCGGGTGCAGGGTCTGGCCTTTTCATCAGCCTGCCTCAGAGCCCTGCAGAGTATCACACAGCAGCTCCGGGCTCCCGGAGACTATTTCTGTGCATCTCTGCTCAGTGTTTGCAGAAGCCTCCCTGTTTTCTCGAGTGCTTCGCTCCAGCTTCTCCTCTTCTTGGATTTTCGCCTGTCTCCTCCCACAGAGGAAAAAAAAAGGTCACGTATGTTTGGAAAAATATGTAGGTCAGTGGAACATTTCCGGCACTGGAGAAGAGGGCAGAGGGGGAAGGGAAGGAGAGGCAGAGTGGAGCTCCAATGCAGACTCCCAGCCATGGCCCCCCACCCCACGTGCCTTGCGGGGGGGGGGGGGGGAGGCACTTAGGTCCTTTCCATCCTTGACCCATTTTTGAGACCGGATGTGTCCGCCCTGGAAGAAACACCGATTATTCCTCCCCAGTGGCCACTGTGATTCTCCCTGAACAGTTCTCACCAGCGTCGCCGACCCCGATGTCCCACCTGCCGCCTTTCCTTCCAGCTCCTCCTTAAGAAATCACAGTTGTCTGCACAGAGACTGCCTCCTGACCTACGTCTGGCCCCTTCCGAAGACCTGTACCGAGTGGAGGGGAGAACAGTCGTGTGTGCTCCCCCAAGCACAAAACAGCAGGGTGGCAGCGGGCCAGGGGAGGGAGCCCTTACTGCCCCGGTGACAACGCGAAGAGGGTCTCTGCCGGGAGCCCCGAATCGCCTTGCCTCCCCTCTCAGCCAAGTTCATCTCCAAGCACACACACCCCACCCCAGCCCTGTGGCGCATCTCCGGCAGCTTCGCAGAGGCAGCGAGGCCTCCGGCCGGCCGTGGGGCAAGCGAATCTGCGCGACCCGGACAGCTGGGGCCCGGATCCGTCTGCCATCAGAGCGCAGGGGCGCGTTCCTGGCTCACTGGCGGCCTGAGAGCCCGCGGGCTGCGTCCGCGGGGCGGAGAGAAGGAGGAAGAGGAGGAGGAGAGGGAGGAAGGGAGGAGGGGAGGAGAAGGAGGAGGAAGAGAGTAGGGGAGGGGGAGAGGGAGGAGGAGGAGGAGGGGGAGAGGGAGGAGGAGGGGAGGAGGAGGAAGGGGAGAGGGAGGAGGGGGAGAGGGAGGAAGAGAAGAGGGGAGGAGGAGGAGGAGGAGAGGGAGGAGGGGAGGAAGAGGAGGAGGAGAGGGAGAGGGAGGAGGAAGGGGAGAGGGAGGAGGGGGAGAGGGAGGAGGAGGAGGAGAGGGAGGAGGAGGAGGAGAGGGAGGAGGAAGGGGAGAGGGAGGAGGGGGGGAGAGGGAGGAGGGGGAGGAGAGGGAGGGGGAGAGGAGGGGGAGAGGGAGGAGGGGGAGGAGAGGGAGGAGGAAGGGGAGAGGGAGGAGGGGGAGAGGGAGGAGGAGGAGGAGAGGGAGGAGGAGGAGGAGAGGGAGGAGGAAGGGGAGAGGGAGGAGGGGAGGAAGAGGAGGAGGAGAGGGAGAGAGGGAGGAGGAAGGGGAGAGGGAGGAGGGGAGAGGGAGGAGGAAGGGGAGAGGGAGGAGGGGAGAGGGAGGAGGGGGAGGAGGAAGAGGCGGTGGCGGCTCTCAGACCGCTCTGCCTGCGGAAGAGTTTGCCGCGAGAGCAGCCGGCCTCCCTCCCGCAAGAACCGAGGGACCAGCGCGGCGGCGAACGGGGACTGGCGGCCGCAGAGCTCGGAGACCCGCGGCTGCTGCTCCGGTCGCCTCGGCGGCGGCGGCGAGAGCAGCGCCTCCCGCCGCCGCCCGAGAGGAGCTCTCGGTGCCCGCGCCGGCTCCGGCTCCCTGCGGCGGCGGGAGGCGCGTCTCCCCGGCCCAGCCCGCGCCCAGCCCGGCGGGGCCACCCCGGCCCGCTCCGAGGTAAGGAGCCTCACCCAGGGCCGCGGGGCCCGGGGCGGGAGGACTTGAGCGCTGGGTTTCGGAACTCGGTCACCTGCCAGTGCGGCGGACGCGCGGGTCCGGGAGGGGCGCTGGGTGCGGGGTCGGGGTCCAGGGACGTGCCCCCACGCCGGGTCCGCCGCGGGGATGTAGTGCTGCAGCGGCCGCGGGGCTGGTGGGCTTCGTGTGCGTGTCGCCGTGGGAGGCAGGGGACGGGGACCCAGAACCTCGGGACTTGGGGCCGCTCACGGAGTACGGTCGGGGTGGATGGAAGCCGTGCGCCCGGCAGCAGCCTTGAGGGTGACTCACGGGCTCCCTGGGCCCCATCACGCGCCCTTCCGAAGCGTCGGGGGCCGGGTACCCTCGGAGAGCGCGGCACGTGCGCCCGGGCCCGCAGTTCCTCAAAGTCCCTTGGTCGGAATTGGTTGCCGGGCTGAGTGCCGACTCTGACCCCTGGTCGCTTACAGGGCACTCGTCCTGGCTCCTTGGGTCGTCTGGCCAGCCGGGGTTCCCCAGGTTGGACGCCAGAGTGTCGTTTTGTTGGGAGGTGTGCCCCTCCCGGGGCGAGGAGGAAGCTCCACCTTTGACCTTCCTAAAGAGCGGCGTGGGTTCGGTGACCAGGGGGTAGGGCAGGTACCTGGGGGCCAAATGCAAAACCATTCCCGCTCCTCTAACTGCTCAAGGTAAGCAAGTTTGTTTTCACTTCTGTGATTCATAAATAATTAGTAACCACTGTTGTTGATTAAGCAAGATGGAAACCTTAAAAATAAACACGCACTTCCAGAAGGTCTAAAAATTCTCAAGTTGTGTCCGTGAGGCTTTTAGTTCGCAAGTTAAACGCCCTGGAGTTCAACAGGTGTTGGAAGGGGGTCCCAGAGGCTAGAGTTCCGCGCATTTGGTCTTCAATACCTGAAGCTTTGGTATCCGGCCCCAAATCCATTAAATTGATTGGCCTGTTTCTTTACAGGTGAAATACTGAGTAGTTCTTAAATTAATTTAATAAGGGAAGAATTGATCATTATTGATCACTTAGAACCCCAACCTTCTTTTTCTTATAGGAGGGATTTTCCCTTTTGGACTTTCCAGATAATTAGCTCTAAAGTAGTTCCTGGCAGTTCCCCGTCCACCTCTGCCTGTCTCACCTCAACTTCCTTCTTGACCAGTGAGTTGACCAAGGAATCCTGGCTTGCATTAACACAGACAGACTGCCCTCCTTGGCAAGCTCAGCCTACCGCTGAGATTTCCTTACAGAAAAAAGTTTGCCCCAAATAACCCCAAAGTGTATTTTAAAACAGCCCTGAAATAAATGTAATGTTTAAAATGGTCATTCTGACTTGATCCACTGTTTTGCAAAAGCAAAAACCAAAACAAAGCAAAAAATATGTGCTTCATTACACAGCTAAACTAGGACCCAAACCCATAGAAGTATTGGCATGTCTCAGCAGTCTACTTAAAGATTGGGTTAAAAATAACGTGTATACAACATAAAGACAGTCAATACTTGCCTTTCAGCTCACAGAGAGATATGGGGTGTGGCTTGGAAGAAGAATTGTCAATGTGCTGCTTTTAGCCATTTTCTCCTTGGAAATGTATGCCTCTGTTTATTTGCTGACCTGTCCCACTGTGTGCAAATGTAGAGGCAATGGTATTCTTACTACTCATCAGAGTCACTCCCCGTGGAGGTAAAAGAAGGGAATACATTCTGGAGGAAATATGTTATTAATAAAATGTCACCCCCCCTCAAAGAGTTAAACAAGCCAAGAAAAGAACCAAGCGAGTACTAATCAGTGCGATGAAAAAATTTCCTGATAGGAGAGTGTTCGCATGGTGAATATAGAATTCATCTGTATGTGGGAAATAACATTTTTTAAGCTTTTTTTTTTTTTTAAGAGTTTGGGCCCTTTTGTCCATTCCTGGCTGTTTAATAATGAAAATTATAAAAAAAAGAATGAAACTGTTAAAGAAATGTCCCACATCACCTGATGTGTATTGTTATGAAATTGAATTCTTCCTTTTTTGAACAATCCTTCTTAACTCCTAATATATATAGCTGGCTCTTAGTGCTGCCGCTTGTTTTAGGTTTCACATTCAAAATGTATTATTTTTACAGATTAAAATAATAATGCGTGCATATGCCTTTTTATAGTACTATCTCTGTAGTTAATTTTTTCAAAGCGTTGTTTTTGAACCTTAAGAATTCAAAGAGCTAAATCCTTTTCCTTAATTCTTAAAAAAAGTATGTATTTTGTTCTTTACCTGAAAAGTCATTTTCCCATTGTGATTCGACACGGATTGTCCCATGATGATCCCATGTACACGGAGAATCTCTTTCCTACAAGAGGTCAGATTGGGAAGTGTTGAAAATAGCCCAGTGACTCAGTATTATTGGCTGCTTTACACCACTGGTTTAATTGGCTACATCATAGGAGCATCTAATTGAGTCTCACATTTCAATAGTGGAAATGATACTTGATGCATTATTTGCTTACAGAAATGTTCAGTTAGTGTGGTCCCAATCTTCATTCTACTTGTAGCAAAGATCTGCCACCTTTGAATTCCCTTAGCATCTGTCCTAGTGAGGCCTTTTTCAAAACAGATGCTCAATAAAGAGATGTAGGAAATGAGCTGAATTGTCCCTAACAGTAATCCAAATGCTAATGGGGTATTTATGAGTAATTCTGGTTTTAATCTGATGATGATTAATAGTACCTTAGAGCACTAAATAAACTTATTAATGTGAACATATTTTTATTTTGTTGTCGACAGTATTATAGATGCCTCCCATTTTCTCCCTTTTTGCCCCACCCAACCCCTGTCTTACTTCAGGCCTTCCCCATGCTATTGTCTGTGTTCATGAGTTATGCATATATGTTCTTTGGTTAATCTCTTCCTGTCCCCTCCCCACACCCACTACCCCACTGAGATCTGTTATTCTATCTCATGCATGCATACCTCTGGACCTATTTTGTTCTTTAGATTTCACTTATAAGTGAGATCATATGATATTTGTCTTTCTCCGACTGGCTTCTTTCGCTTAGCATAATACTCTCCAGGTCCCTCCATGCTGTCTCAAAGGGTAAGAGATCTTTCTTGCAGCTGCACAATATTCCATTGTGTACATGTACCACAGCTTTTTTATCCACTCATCTACTGGTGGGCACTTGGGCTGTTTCCAGATCTTAGCTATTGTGACTAATGCTGCTATAAACATAGGGGTTCACATATTCTTTTCATTGGTGTTTCGGAATTCATACGATATGTACCCAAAAGTGGGATCGCTGGGTCAAATGGCAGGTCCATTTTTAATTTTTTGAGGAAACTCCATACTGTTTTCTGTGGGGGCTGCACCAGTCTGCATTCCCACCAGCAGTGTACTAGGGTTCCCTTTTCTACACATCCTTGCCACCACTTGTTGTTTATTAATGATTTGTTAATAATAGCCATTCTGGCAGGTGTGAGGTGATAATGTCATTGTTTAAATTTTCATCCTTCTGATGATTAGTGACATTGAGCATTTGTTCATGTCTCTATTGGCCATTTGTATGTCATCTTTGGAGAAGTGCCTATTCAGGTTCTTTGCCCATTTTTTAATCAGGTTATTTGTCTTCCTGGTGTTGAAGTGTATGAGTTTTTTGTATAATTTGGAAATTAAACCCTTGTAAGATATATCATTGGCAAATATGTTTTTCCCTACAGTAGATTCCCTTTTCATTTTGTTGATGGTTTCTTTTGCTATACAGAAGCTTTTTAATTTGATGTACTGCCATTTGTTAATTTTTTCCTTTGTTTCCCTTGCCCTAAGCAACATATTGGTGAAAATGTCTGAGATTTTATTGCCCATTTTCTTCTAGAATGTTTATGGTTTTGTGACTTACATTTAAGTCTTTTATCCATTTTGAGCTTTTTCTTGTGTGTGGTGTAAATTGGTGGTGTAGTTTCATTTTTTTGCATGTACCTGTTCAATTTTCCCAACACCATTTATCAAATAGACTATTTTTAATCTATTGTATGCTATCACCTCCTTTGTCAAATATTAATTGGCCATATTTGTGTGGGTCAGTTTCTGGAGTCCTGGATTTTGTAAAATGCTTTTTGTGCATCCATTGATATGATCATGTGATTTTTATCCTTCATTTTGTTTATGTGGTGAACCATTTTATCCAGGTTGTCCAGTTTGTGGGCAAATAGATGTTCAAAGAATATTCTTATAATTCCTTTTATTTCTGTGATGCCAGTTGTTACTTTGCCTCATTCATTTCTGATTTTATTTATTTGGGTTCTCTCTCTTTGTTTCTTAGTGAGTCTGGCTAAAGGTTGATCAAACTTCATTTCAAAGCCTTTTGTATTTTTTTTTTTTTAGTTTCTATCATTTATTTCTGCTCTGATCTTTATTATTGCCTTCCTTTTACTTATCCTTGGGTTTTCTTGTTATTCTTTTTCTAATTCTTTTAGTTGTAAAGTTAGATAGCTTATTAGAGAGTTTTCTTTTTTGAGGTAGGCCTGTAATGCTATGTATGAATTTCCCTCTCAGGACTGCTTTCGCTTTGTCACATAGATTTTTGGATTGTTGGGTATTCATTTTCATTTGTTTCTAGGAAGTTTTTTATTTGTCTTGATCTCATTGGTAACCCATTCATTGTTTAATAACAAGCTATTTAGTCTTCATGTGTTTGACTGTTTTTTAATTATTTTTATTGTAGTTGATTTCTAGTTTCATGCCATTGTGATCCGGGAAGATGCTTGATATGATTTCAGTTTTCTTGAATTTGTTAAGGCTGAACATATTTTTAAAAGGGGATTTTTGTAGTGTTGTTTTAACTAAAGTAGTACTGTTTCTTATCTGAATTTTTTTGAGATTGAGTATCTTAGGGAAAGTTCCTTCCAGAGACCCTTTGAATTTCTTTGGGTCAGAAAGCAATGTGTGATTTCTATTTTATGATTCAGAATATAAACAAGATAGCTTAGTTTCTACACTAGTATGT